AATTCAGTGCTGGATTGGAAATCAAGAGCCAGTCCAGAAGAATGGTGCAGATTAATTTATTAAACCCTTTTGTTATGTTTCCAGGCAGAGTTCCCCAAAATTCTGGTTATCCAAAAAAACAAACAAACCAGGATTATGAGTGCTTTTCCCCCCTTTCCTGAATTAGAACGGAAAGCACATTAAGCATCTATTGTTGGAGAAACCCACATGGTGGTCTTCTGGATGGTAATAAACAAAATTCAGGCAGTTCATTAATCAGAGAAGCAGTGAGCATCCTCTTTGGTAACCAGGGTGGTAAGAGCCATTGATTTGTTTGTTTCTAGTGATCTCTTAAAGGGTGACTTGTATACAGGATTCCAACAAAATAAATCTAGTACAGGTAGTCCTCCTTTAGCAACTGCCCCCTACAGCAGCCATTCACAGTGATGTAACTTTGCACCCAATCCTCGCATTTATGACCTTTGCAGATTTGTAAAACCAAAGGGAAGCTGAAGTAAGTTCATCAGCACAATCGCAGTTTTATTTAGCAACTACATTGCTTAATGACCGAGTTGCCTGGCCCAATCGTGACACTAAACAAGGAATATATTATTATTTGTGTTGGATTTATCATACCACTAACCATTAATGTTAAGCCTTCTAGATATCTGTTATCCATTTGGTATTCACTTGTATAACAAATCAGTCAGCTAGTTGCAGCTTATACTTTAATTAATAACTTTTATTTACTCTTAATAAGGCTAAATCTTCTTTCAGTTTTTAATCAACTCACCCTTCTAGTATTGATAACTTTGAGCTCTCCCAGATGACTAGAGATGAGAGAAGTTCATCAGCAGACCAACAGATCGGAAAAGACAATAATAGTCATTCTTTTTTTATTGTTCTACATAGTTAACACAAGTAATCTCGCTGCCACTGTAATATTACTTTGAGAGTTCATATTATATAGCTAAATTGATACATTGCAAGATTTGTTGATAGCTAGCAATTCATTTATTCTAATGCCTACCATAGTTTTACAGTCCTGTGACTTCTGGTATCGCTAGCACAAGAAAAAATAATTTCTAATTGCATTATGAAATCATATAATTCCAAAGAACATGTGCACATTTTTCTGCCACATATTCCACATTAAAGTCGATTTTTGTAAAATAGATTTGAGTTACTTCTTGCGATGAGAAATCTTCAAGGCATAATTTGTAGAATAGATTCTACAGGCAGCATAACCCTATCTTGAGGGATCCCATATGCTTTTGACGTTTATCTTTATTGTTTTCTTTTTGTTTATCATCTCTGCCACTCATGTCGTGGCATTAGGGCTGCTTTAATCCAATGCGGTTATTGAGGGTGGTTTTTTTGTGTTTTTTTTGCCATTGGTATTTTGAGAACAATTTATCCAGAGGCATTTAATGTGAGAAAGCCAAGGGAAATAAAAGCAGAAGTTTGAGAATCCTCTAATAGCTCTTCTAAAGCAGTCTGGCCTTGATGCAGCCATATATTTCCCCTCAGAGTCCATTAGAATCAAAAGGGCTGACATCTCTTAGCTTAGAGGAGGGGAATTGGGATCATAAAAGAAGAGAGTTATGTTCCAGTCCTGCAAGGAAGCTGCTTCTCCCCACCCCACCTCCATTTCTGCCTCCCTCTTCCAACCCTCCCAAGAAGCTGCGTAAAGTGCAGGGAGGAGGAATTAAGTTCTAATTGAGCATGTCTAGTCCCCTCAGCCAGCATAATAAGGCCACATACAGGTAGTCCTTTACTTACGACCGCAGTTGAGCCCTGCATTTCTGCTGTTCAGCGAGACATTTGTTGAGTCAGCTTTGCCCCCATTTTACAGCCTTTCTCTCCACAGTTGTTAAGCCAATCACTGCAGTTGTTACTGACCCGGTTGTTAAGTGAATCCAGCTTCCCCATTGATTTTACTTGTCAGAAGGTTGCCAAAGGGCCTGACCTTGGGACACAAGAACGGTCAGAAGTATGAACCAATTGCCAAGCTTTCTGAATTTTGATCACACAATCGCGGGGAGGCTACAAAGGTTGCAAGTGTGAAAAACGGCCCTAAGTCACTTTTCTCAGTGCCGTTCTAACTTTGAAATGAACTGTTCGCTGTAAGTCGAGGACTACCTGTATTGAATTAGGGCCTCGTTATTCATGGTTTCATTTAGGCTTGTCCACAACTGCCTGTAGGTGGCGATATATACATATGTTGCAAAGGGGCTGGTGGATAAGCCATAGGTTGCAGATGGTTGCAGATGGGCTGATGCTCGCACCTTCCAAATCTCAACTTTGTGTATTGTGTACGTCCTGCGTGCTGATTGGTTGCTCCGACTTCCTGTTGGGAGACGGGCGGAAGGCAAGGCCCTTTCAAAGGACCTTAACAGATTGGCAGAAGTCTAAATGCAACAGCTACGCAACCATCTCCGAACAACAAGACACATATACTCCCTGACCTGCAACGATGCAGAAGATTACACCAAGCTTTAGTGAATGAACCCAGCCACATTTTTGATTGCTCATGCTTTTGTGGCAGTGTGCCATCCTTTTAACAGGGCATCAACTGCCCTCAACTTTGCTGGGTGCATGGCAGAGAGAAAAAAAAACAGCTTTTGTTCCCAGTTGGATAAACCACCATGTGAACGTAGCCCCACCTTGTGTGTGTGTGTGTGTGTTTGCAGGGCACATATTCCACTGCGCTATGTAGAGAATGCCAGAAAGGTTGGGGCCAGGCGGGAGGCATTCTTAAAATTCCCATAAAAGGAACCACCTTAAGCTATTACTGATCATTTATGTTTACAGCCCGTGTGAGTCAGTCAGGCCTCTGGATGTTTTCATTACCCTGTACCAACCTTAATCTTATGTACCGTATGTCACTTTGTGTTTTGCAGTTGGTACTGCTGTTGCAAGTCTTACTTGCAAGCCTATTCTCCCTGCACCATAGAGTTACTTCGCGTACAAACCGTTTCTCTTTTCTCATATTTTGAACGCGGGGATTGGCTGTCATTGGAGGGCAATCCTTCAAGACCCAAAGACGAGCAGAAGGAGGCTAGGATGAGAATTTAGACCCTACTCTATTAAGCTTCTCTGGAACCTGTTGTGAAAGGCTGGCAAAAATGACTTTTCAGTTCGATTCCCTGCCTTCCTCATGGTTATTTTTTTGGTATCATTCTTTAAAATGGATGAGAGCTATAACAGTACTGTAATTATCCTGTCAATCCCAGGTAGCTTTCTTTCTCTTTTTAACATAATTCTTGTTTGTAACCCTGTCCATTCCTTTGTTTTAAAGACTGTTCGGATTTTCCAAGCTAATAATACATCAAATTAATGCTTGATAATAATCAACTGCTTTGATTTTTTTTTTCATCTAAAATTTCATCTTTCCTGTAATGGGAGAACTAGCTTCCATCATTTTAGATACTATTTGTGGTATCTAAAAATGTCTTTGGTACAGGTAGTCCTTGACTTACCACCACAATCGAGGCCAAAATTTCTGTGGTTAAGTGAGTTTTGCCCCATTTTACGACCTTTCTTGCTACAGTTGTTAAGTGAATCACTGCAGTTGGTAAGTTATTAAGCCGGTTGTTAAGTGAATCTGGCTTCCCCATTGACTTTGCATGTCAGAAGGTCTCAACAGGAGATCACATGACCTCCTGGGACACTGCAATGGTCATAAGTATGAATCAGTTGCCAAGCATCTGGATTTTGTTCACATGATCATGGGGATGCTGCAGCAGTCCTGTGTGAAAAATGGTCAAAAGTGACTTTTCTCAGTGCCGTTGTAACTTTGAACCGTTACTAAATGAACTGTTGTAAGTCAAGAACTCCCTGTATCCAATTGGGTTCATCGGGATACTCTTAAGCTGAGTGTTTGCTGAGTGATTGTTGGCATCCTTGCATTAAAATTAACATGCCAGTGTCTTCACTGTGAAGACAGATTCTTCTTCTAAATGTGGACTCCATAGGCTTTCACCCACAATGTGGATTTTCCTATTTTACTTATTGATAGATTTCTTTTTATGCACCTCCATCTAAGACTGGAGGTGGTTTTCACAAAATGGTAAAACAAAACTAGTTAATCCTAAAACTGGAGTATCAGTAAATCTCATAATTAAAATTGTCTTAATCATCATAATGGTTGATATAATGCCCAGAATTAGAAAGCTGCTGTGTGAGTTCCACAAGCTTGTTTTTTTCCCTGTTGCTCATCAAACCATGGACTGGGTCATTTAAAAAAACCCAAACTAAACAATTCTACATGTCTATTTGTATGTAGACAATATTTTATTTTATCCTGGGAAGTAGAAGAACAAAAGCCTACTATGATGATGAATAAATGGCTCAAAAGTAAATGGCATTGTCTTTCCAGCCATATACACAATAAGAGTGTCTTTCCTTTTCTCATCTTTCAAGGAGGAAAAAAATGAGTAAAAAACAGAGTTTATTCAGTAGCCATGTGGACTTGGACAAAGTTAAACATCAATGCTCATCTTGGTTTTGCAAATATGGTTCTGGTCAACTTTTGGAGACCAAGACAGCTAGAATTGTGCCAATCTAAACACCTGAATGTTTTTCCTTTTTGAAAGAGTATGTGGCAATTAGCTGTTTCCCTCCGTATTCAAGAGGCATTTGTGTACCCTGTTAACGTCTACTTGTATGAACAACTCTGTTTAGTTACAGAGTTGAAGATCTGACAGAGAAACAAAGAACTGTCCAGTCCTTTCCCAGTCATATATAAACCAGGTTGTTGGGGCATTTAAGCACGCCCAGATTTATGGGCTAAAGAAAATCTCTCTGTGGTGTAGAGCAGTGGCCCCCAACCTTTTTCGAACCAGGGACTGGTTTCACAATTATTTATTCTTCCACGGACCAGTACCTGAGTAATGTGAGACTCCACCGCCATTGGGACGGCTCTTCGTTCGAAGCCACCCCCCCACTCTTCGACGAAACTAAGGCGCAAGCACCCAAACGCCGCTTTCCAACTGAAAAACCGGAAGCACTTTCCAACCAAAAACCCGGAAGCGCCGTCGAAACAAGATGGCGGTGCCCAACCTTTGCGGGCCGGTAAAAAATGATCCACGGACCGGTACCGGTCCGGGGACCGGTGGTTGGGGACCCCTGGTGTAGAGGAGACCAAAACGATCCAAAACAACCACAGAGTAGTTTCTTTTAGGAAACGCCAGTAAACCAAACCGGGCTAATGGAGGAGAAATCCATTTCTCCCTGCAGCTGACCAATGCAGAGCTGATTTCAACCTAGAGATTCCCTTTTGACTCTTAACAATAGCATTTCAAACTGTATATCCAGTGAATTGCTGTTTGGGATTGTGTGTGTGTGTGTGTGAGAGAGAGAGAGAGAGAGAGAGAGAGAGAGAGGGAGAGGGAGGGAGAATATAACAACATAGTTACTGCAACTTGACAGAGTAGCCACTGGTGGAGTTTCTTCTGTGTTTTGGGGACCTTTAAGACAAATTATGAGGTCTGTAAGGAGGTGTGCATAATCGCACCAGCATGCCTACCGTCCTTGTCCTACTGTTCCCATTTATTCGTACTCATTTATTATGTATATTCTTATACCTGTTTATACTTAATATGTTTCTATGTTATGTTCATACTTATACTTGTTTTCTCTTACATGCTTGACAAACTAAACTAAATAAACTAAATAAAAGAAAGTTGTTGGAAAGTAATGGGTGCAGTTAGGAGGGTGGATTGGAGAGCGGGAGGAGAACTGATGGTGTCGCTGTCTAATATATTCTCCTCTCTTTGCATAGGAGGAGCTAACTAGCACCAGTGTGGAGCACATCATAGTCAACCCCAATGCAGCTTATGACAAATTTAAGGATAAGAGAGTGGGTACAAAAGGGCTAGGTAAGTAAGTACCTGTCACCATGGAAACTTACAATAGATCCAGGGAAGAGCAATAGGTTCTCCCCCAAACTAGAAAATGTACCATGAAAAGGTGATGGTGGTAATTATACTCTTATCATAAAATCCACAGAGAGGATCTGAAGGTCATGATTAAAAACATTCTAACACATCTCTCTGTCCATTAAAATGATAATCTGGATTATTTATTCTTCGATGCTATATTTATGTGGCTCTGAAATGCTAAGTATATTTTGTACGGTTTTCCATTAGGGTTTTTTAAAAACAATTTGTAAATCATGGTATCATTGCCTACAAGTGTAAAAAAAAAAGGACATTACCCACATGATAATGGCGGTGGTAATGCATTAGGTACACTGAAATACATCAGCAGGTAGTCCTCGACTTACAACCACAATTGAGCCCAAAAATTCTGTTGCTAAGTGAGACATTAGTTAAGTGCGTTTTGCCCCATTTTATGACCTTTCTTGACCCATTTGTTAAGTAAATCACCTCACTTCTTGAGTTAGGAACATGGTTGTTAAGTGAATCTGGCTTCCCCATTGACTTCGCTTGTCAGAAGGTTGCAAAAGGGGATCACAGGACCCCCTCTGGACACCGCAACCGTCATAAATATGAACCAGTTGCCAAGTGGCTGAATTTTGATCACGTGACTGTTGGGATGCCGCAATGGTCATAAGTATGGAAAATGGTCATAAGTCACTTTTTTCAATGCCACTGTATCTCTGAATAGAAATGAACTGTTGTGAGTCGAGGCCTACCTATATTTGGGTGGGTTTGTCGGTGATGTGATGACTTGCAAATGAAGAGTACCAATATCAGAGTTTACATCCGTGTCAACACTGTAGCCAGGGTTTCCAGACACTTTGTGACAAGAGGAAATGATAGAAAGCTTAGAATGGTTTAGTCAAATAAATGATCAATAATTGATAATCATATACACATATATGTTAGATTGATAATATGAGAACTTATATAAATTGTAAGTGAGGACCACAGAGAGGAGGCACAAAAGATTTGTAACCAACAGACACACTGTATGTATGCAACTTGAAGATGGTTCTATGTTTTATGTTTTGTTTGTGTAAGTTTGTCTAAAAATAATTATTTCTCAGAAAAAAAAAAAAGAAAGCTTAGACTACAGAGTTCAAAGGGAGGGGAGTTTAATACTCATCTGCTTTAACTTAAATTTATGGAAATATATGAACCTGCAACTCATATGCAAAATTTAACATTGTTCCTTTTCTCTGTTTAATAGATTTCTCTGATCGTATTGGCAAATCCAAAAGAACAGGCTATGAGTCTGGAGATTATGAAATTGTAAGTTGTTGATTTATTTGGACAAATTTGATTGAAAAGGGAGTCTTCCAGTCCACTTCTGGCTCAGCTACACACACACACACACACACACACACACACACACACACACACACACA